CTGACTAGAATTGAGTCGGACTACGTCAGGCTACCAACAACTCCCTTAATATTGTTAAATACTACAAATATTCAGATCTGATCTGACTGTAGTTATTGATCTCATATTCAATACTTTTACATAATGTAAAAAATATTTTAGTTTTTCAGCTCAAAAAGGATTTAAGTAAGTATTTTCTCATAGTGTATCATGTTATAAACTTCAGTTTTTCTTGTTGGATCATCCTAACAGAAGCTACAACAACTGTAAAGAGACTAGAGACGGATGGTTCAGCAGCAACTCTATGAGATAATGTATAAATCCCACACTTTTGTTCTGCTGTTACACACGGGTAAGTTTGTGGTTCAGAGCCATGATGATTGTATGCTGGTGTTTAGCTTTCAGTCTCAAACCAGATTGGTTTGTAATGGGAAAGAGAAGTGTGGTGCTACTGATCCACTGTATTCTTTTTAGATTTACCACTCTGGTGACCACCGTACTGTCTAATAGCTTGCACATGCCTGTGTCTTTATTGAACCATCAAAGTCGTTTGTAGTTTTGCTTCAGTAATGTTTGATTGCGTTTTGGATTGTGTTTACTGTACTTCGTGTAAATATGGATTTCTTTTCTCTAAGTCAAACACCAAACATGTCAAATGCTAAGAATAAGTCATTTACTTATATTCAGTGAGTTAAGCTGAGCTGGAAGCATGTTTAAAGACGGAGTTCTCCTCCTGCTGTGGAAGACTGGACCACCTCCTCCTCCAACAATCCCCTCCTACTTCTTTTCATATAGGTTGGGCTTTGACTTGAGTCAATCAGACAGAGATCTTAACTGTGCCTGCCACTGGCTTTCTGCACACCCTCACAGCAGTTATTAAGCTACTCAAACACACCATCACATCCACGCCTGCAGCAGTAAACATATGGAGTACTACTGCTTCCTCCTGCTCTGGATTTGCAGCCAGCATTTAGGTGAGTAAAAGTTGTTTGTATACCTTTTATTTTTTCTTCGTTTGTACTTTGTGTAATTAAGGAAAAGATATTAATCACTTTTTTTGACAATTTTGTGGTGTACTAACTTTGACTTAAATGCAAAGGTGTTTAAGTTTAAAAATACTTATCAGATTATGCTGTTGCAGCTTTTAATTTTCAGTTTCCATGTGCAAGCATCCTAAATGAGAATGTTTATTTCCCAGCATCTCACATGCATGAAAGTATATATAAGACCCATTATAACCCGACTCTGTATCACAACTCAGGAACTTCTTAGGAATTCTTAGAGGGATTATTTCACTACTATAAGATCTACAGAAATGTATTATAGCTCATTGCAAATGTGCATATTCAGCTAAATAAAAGTTACAGCTTTTCTACAACAGAGTTTGTTAGAGCTTTAAAACTCAGCCAAATTTGTGGTCAGAGACCAGATCCAATACTAAAACTGTGTCACATCTATGTACAGTTTGAAGAAGAAAGCCACATACACTTTATATAGAAAGCTGAAAAGAATATTTATGGATTTGTTCAAAGAAAAAGCTTTTAATTAGTGCTATAAACTGACGGAGATGCCACACGTAATAAACATAATCAAATCCTTTCAACTTTAAACATATTGTGATTATTTTTAGAGTTGTGCAGCAAAGAGTTCTGGATATGCCGTTTTTGAGTTCACTCCACTCTGAACCGTAATCACATGGTCTAAAACCTCTCTGTGCTTTCCATAAAAATACAGCACTGGTTATTTTTCCATCTGTTGCCGTTATTGACACAATTCTGTTAAATGCAGAGAGAAATGTACCACTGACCTATTTGAAGTCTGCATCGCTGGAATGAATCTGAGAGAGAACTTCAATGCTTCCTTAGCTTAGATACTTTGTAAATTATACAAGGCTGTGAAATTGCAGGGAGGAAATATTTTCCAAATATTTGGTTGATTTGGGAATTTCTTGGATCAGCGCCACAAAAAGGGAGACTGTGACCTTGTAAGTTGGGGTACATGGAGTATGATTTCATGCTGACTGTGGTGCAGGATGTTTTGACAAGAGTGTGAAAAGGCAGGCTTTATTTTACTCTACAGTTCTTGGGCTCCTTTGGTTATAGCAACAAAGATCCTGTCGAGATAACAATAAAAATGGTGATCTTCTTAGGGGGAATAAGACCTGTGCTGTATATTAGATGGAAACTTCAGGGTCAGTTTCCCCCTTGAAGCACTTACTCTCAGTAGGATATGTCAACTCAAATGGGTCTTTTTTTAAAATGAACTTAGAGTGTCCTTTCTTTTGATGGACATTCATTTTGCCTCTATCATGCAGGAATGACTAGGCCATATTGGCTCCTGTACCAATCATAGGTTTCTGGACAAAACATGAAATACAAATGACAGAAATAATAATGCTGATATTTACTGTAGGAAATTAACTGACCCTTGTTGGTCTTCCAAAATGTATAATAAATGCATGGAATTTGTCAGGATCCAGTTATATAAGACATGCAGTCATACATTTGGGTCTGGCTAGCTCAAGTGGTAAGTCCCCCATCCTGCGAACAGGAGGCCTGGGTTCCTATCCCAGCTCGAGGAAATGAGCTGCCAGCGTGTGTCCTTAGGAGAGACCCTTCATGCTAATGTCTGCTTTGGAAAGTGGTGGCCTGGTGTTTAGGGTATAGAGCTTTGAATCCTGAGGTTCTGAGTTCAAGCACCACTCCCATAGACTGCCGCCAGGCTTCCTGAGCAATACCCTTAACCCCACACTGCTTCCCAGGCACCGTGCAATGGCAACCCACTGCTCCCCAAAGGGACAGGTAAAATGCAGAGATAATTTCGTTGCACTCTACTTGAGACAGTGTAATGACAATAACATGCTGAAAAAACAAAAACAGAAAAATTGGTCTATAATGTTTTCTTTGAATTTTTTTACATAAAAAAATCTCTTTACTATTGAAATATAGATGCATTTTTTTCATAACTTTATGGATTTATGTGATTTTTAATTTTCGATTTCTTATTATTTGTGCATCAGCTTTTTATTCCATAAGGCTACATTAGGGATCATTAAATTAGGTACATCCATCTAGTACTGTGTCACAACCCCTTCTGCCTTCCCAATATTTCAATGCTTCTTCAAAGGGACTGTATTGCAAGAGATCCAAGATTGCAAGAGCTACTGAAAATGTTATACAGCAGGATAGATCAATGGTTAAATGTTGTTACCTTCTAATTTTAACACACAATGCAAATTTCTCAACTGAAATGATGATATTGTCCAATTTGGGTCAGCCAAATCAAAATCTAGCTAATGTATCTGGTGCTATCTGGTGCTAAATCCCAGCTTGTTTGAAATAAAGTATTTTTAATACCTTGGTTGTAATAAACAGTTATTTGAAGTCTTTAATTTCTACCACCTCAGTCTGGATATTTCCCTCTTATCTCTGACAACAAGGGGATAGTTTTTCCACACAAGCACAGCTTACAGTAGATCATAGCTGTTTGTGAAATACTTATACATTCCAGTCTGCTGCACAGTACTGTACGTAGTCTCATTATTACCAAGTAGATTCCTTAGTTTGGTTCTCAATTCAGTTTATTTACATTTTGGCACCTAAAAACAAACAGGATCTTCAAGGACTTTACAGTAATGACTCAAACAAATCAAACAGTCAGAATGGGTAAATGTTGTCTATCTAAGACTGTATAGAGCTATTCACTTTGCTGGATTCTCTCCTCCTGGATATGTATTTAGTGGAAGTACACATTTGCTTGCATTGTGTCAATAACTGCAGCAATGACTCAAACCAAGAATGCATGCAGTGATAGTGGAGAGGGAAAAACTCCCTTTTAACAAGAATAAACCTCAAGTAGAACCAGACTTACTGTATGTGTGGCCTTCTGCTGAGGCTGACTGGGAGTTTAAGAAGACAGAAGCAAATGCACAAACTAAAAAGGAAAGCACTGAAGCATACATAATCTATATGCAAGAAAAGGTGATGGTAAACTAGCTCCATGTTTTTTTTTGTCTGGAAAAGACGCAACTGAATGGATTAGGCATATGTCTGTTTTTCCTGTTACTTGTTTTATTATTTAACTAAAAAAGGTATTTGTAGGAATGATTAGAGTTGACATGTAATCCAACTTAGAAATACCTCAGGTAAACTTCTTTTTTTAAAAAATAGTAAAACACTCTGTAAGAATATTGTGCCAAATCAAAAATCCAAATAGACTCACAAGATTTATGAACATTTTTTTGAATTGTGTTACTCTTGGTGATAGTTTAGCAGATTTTTAACTTATTTATTTTACTTTATTTTACTGTAGTTGTTGATCCAGAGATTTATTCAGGCACAATGCAGCTCAGTCTATGTTCGAACATTATCCTTTGTTTCCATTTTCCAAAGATTTAGATATTTGACACAAGTGGCTGAAATGGGTTTCCTTTATAGAGGGACCAGTTTCATCTGTAGGGGTAGCAAAAAGTGCCTTGGTCAACTGTGGAAAGATAGGAGTAGCTGCTGTCCCTTCAAATAAAATAAGTAAGTTGAAAGATGCTCCCAGGACTTTTGTTGACATATCCCAATAGGAACAGACTAAAGGCATACATTACTTCTGGACTGGGGGACTTGAGCTCGCCAGAAGGAGCTTTCTGTGGAGCAATTACCTCCCATTTGAAACTGTTACCTCTACAAAATTATTTTCAGAGTGGCTAAGGATGGATGGATGGATGGATGGATGGATGGATGGATGGATGGATGGATGGATGGATGGATGGATGGATGGATGGATGGACGGACGGACAGACAACAACATAAGCTGACAATAGTAGATCACATTGCTAGATCCATCCTTTTCTTATTTTCCTTTTGTTACTAAGATCAAAAACAGAATTGTAAAGTTTACAGGAGATTCTATGTTAATCTAGTTTTGACTGAATACACACACAGTCAATGGTGTTTTATATTTTTGTATTTCAATCTGATGGCCTGGTTACTGGTCCAGGGCCCACTGTTCCATCGGCAACTGAAGATAAGCATCAGTACCTCATAACCCTGAAAAGGATAAAGTGGGTAAGGAAAACAGATTGTCATGATTGTGTGGAGGTTTCTTAGAGGACCCAAATGCAGAGATAAGGAGGCAGAGATGAGTTTGCTGATTTCATCGAAATCCAAAAGGCAAGAGAAGCAAAGTCCACAAAGAAAAATACTGAAAAACAAAAGATCCAGGAAATGTCAGAGAAAACACAAATGGGGAGAAAAGAAACAATGAGGCAACAAATCAACAACAAACTAGCCATGGGGAACTGCTGAGGTGGTGTATATAGGGAACAGAACTAAGGATGGGCTGATGAGCTGATATGGAGCAGGTGTGAAAAGAACTACCATAACTAGAAGGGAACTAGGGCAAGGAAACTAACTCAAGAAATACAAAACTGCATTAATATAACAACAAATGGAAAAGAAACCAATGAACATAAAAACACAGAATAACATAAATCAAAGTGGAACTAAAAACTGAAAAAGAAACTCAAACAGAAGTCCTCAAGGAAAGAACCATAACATTAATGGAGCCATTATCAAAGGTTTACCTGATGTTGAAAGTTTTCAGGTAGGTACTGAAGAGAGATATACATATAAGTCTAGAAGATAGGAAGTGTTATAAAACAGGGGCTCCAACAGTAAAGATCTTTTCAAACTAATTTGACCTGTGACTTGTTGGTCCGATGTTATCTGCAGTACAAGATCTGTACTTTAAAAGCTCAGTGGAAGGCTACATACCGGGTCATAAAAACATGTATATATCTGTGTAAGGCCATTTCAACCTTTTAAGGTAGACTGTAAAATTTGGTAGTAGGCTTATAAACCCAGTCAGGAGACATTCTAAGGAAGAAGAGCTGTATTTGTATGTTTTTGTCCAGGCAACAGTCATACATTATGGAGAAGTTGATGCTTAAATGTTTTGTCCAAATACAGCTTATAACACAGAC